CGCCGCCCCCTCCCCCGCACCCTACCCCCGACTCTCCCTCGCCTGTAGGCAAGGCCTGGGTCCGGACCCGACCCGGGCCAAGACAAACTCTGGGGGTTTCCTCTGTTGGGACCCCTTTTTCAGCTTGCACCTCTAGACTCTCCGCCGCTCTCAGAGGCGCAGGAAGGGAGCTAGAAGTGGGGCGAGGGTAGGGAGCGAGTCTTCACCGAGTCTTCCAGGCCTTCTCCTTGCTCAGCGGGGCGAGGCGGCCCGGGAGGACCAAACACTCCGTAAAGTGAAAGCCACATTACGGCCGCCCCAGTGTCCATGGGCGAATCCTTACTAGAAATGGTGGGCTAGGTGGGGGGGGGGGTAGCTGAAAGGTGGACGCCCTGGGCGTCTTGGGGCACTTCGAGGAGTAAGTAGAACCTGCCGGCGCCCTAAGTGGGCGTGGAGTCGGGGAGGCGGTCGGAGCGGGACCGCGGAGGCCCCAGAAACTTTTGGAGAGCGCTTCGAGAAGTTTCTATATTGGCCTTTTCTTTCTGTAGGGCTTCTTCGTTTCACTACCCCTTCCCCTGCTCCCTGGTCCCCGCACCAATTCGTTTTCCTTCTCGAGGAGTAAGTAGAACCTGCCGGCGCCCTAAGTGGGCGTGGAGTCGGGGAGGCGGTCGGAGCGGGACCGCGGAGGCCCCAGAAACTTTTGGAGAGCGCTTCGAGAAGTTTCTATATTGGCCTTTTCTTTCTGTAGGGCTTCTTCGTTTCACTACCCCTTCCCCTGCTCCCTGGTCCCCGCACCAATTCGTTTTCCTTCTGCAAGGATATTCCCACCGCCGTGAGTGGGAATGGAAGGGAAGACGTCTTGTTTTATGGTGGAATATTACCGAAATCAAAGCTGAAAATCCCAGAATCCCGGAGCCCACCTCCAACGATTAGGGAGTGCAGTAGAAAATGGCACTGAAATCCCCGAACTGCCAGCTCGGGGCTAAGCGCTTTAGGCTGTGGCGGCGACCCACGCGCGGGCCAGGCCTGCAGCAGACGATCTCCGGGGACAACATGGGGACTGCAGCTTTGCTATGGACTGACCGGCCCCAAGTCAGAGGCGGAAACAGGCTGCCTGGCACTGACTGATCGAGAAACTGAATCAGAATTCCACCAAAGTGGAGGGAGAGGAGGGTCTTGGTTCCGGCCACCTCTGACAACTGCAGCTCTGCGGAACCCAGTTCAGAAAAGAAATGTTT